ATATAAAAATAATCTTGTATTTTAGGACTTTTTTTTTTACGTTAAATATGACAGTTAAAAGTATTACAAAAAATAATAAAAAGTTACTATAAAAATCAAGATCTTTTTTCGCCCACTTTTTCCAAATATGGGATTAACTTTTTTACAGTGTCCTAATATTGTAGAAGGTTTCTCATTTAAAATATCTTACACAAAGTTGCACTAATTAAAGTTTAGCAGATTTTAAACATACAACTCGTTTGTCGTTTTTAATTGTTCAAAGCACATTGTTTTTAACCATGAACTCTAAATAATTAATTGTAATTACCCAAATTATAAAAAACAATAAAATATAAATATATTAACTATAATATATAACTATAATTATATTTTTAACTTGAAACTTTCTTCTACCAATCATTATGAAAAATAAAGAAATTACTCAAAAATTGTTTCATGCTTTGGAAAACAACTTAATCAAATTACCGACCCTGATGCTTATAAAGTTATAGGGATCTCTGACATAGACTTCAAATTATTTTCTAAACAATTTAACAAAAAATGGAATAAAGTAAACAGACACAAAGATAGATTTGAGTTACATTACAAAATCTGATTAGAAAAAGAACTACAAACAAGCGTTGCATGTTTTGAAACAGATAAACTAGACAAGGGCCAAAACTCGGGTTTGGCTTTTCCTATTTCTCACAGTTTAATTTATGATATTTTATAAAAATTAAAGTAATGGACTTATGATGATTTTCACTATTTAATTGTGTTTTAACAAATGTTTATACTAAATACAATCATCTGATATTTTAATATAAATTAGTTTTCTATGGAAAACTAATTTATATTAAAATATCAGGTGCAAATTCCATACCATTCACCCAAGCTTCTGAAAAAACAAAAAAGAGAAGGGCAGAAAAAACAAATATTGCTGTCGAAAGAGAGGAAATATTTTACTTTTTTTGAAACTAATAGAGAAAAAAGGTTCAGCTAAGGTACAACCTCGATACTATAGACAGGTTTTCACAGGAAGGCGTGCGATTGCACCTTTTTATATGACCATGCAAATTACATTTTGCTATAACGATTTGACCTCGGCTAATTCAAAAAGCGTATCAAAAATGCACTAAAAGAAAAATATTCTGAAAAAGTGAAATTAAAACGATGACATTCTACGACTACAAAGTCTGTTTAACGAATTTTAACATAAAAATAATTAAGTTAATACATTTAAAAATATAATACTTATATTATTATAAATATAATAATTTATAATAATACATCTAAAAAGATTAACAAAATTTTGTTGAAAAAACAAGTTTTAGAAAACCGTTGCAATTGAATAAGTTTGATCTTAAATGCTTTTAATATTATTGAAACGTTTTTCAACAAAAGTAACAAAACACTTCTAATTAATTTTAAAAATAAATATTAATGAACTGTTATTTTTTTTATTTATATAATTATGTATTTTTTATGAGAAATGTTTATTTTTTGAAACATTTTAAATAAAATAAAAAAAACTACAAGTTTTTGAATGCATAAATTAAATATTTACGCATTTAAAAGCATTTTAGTTAGATGAGTTTTGTTTTAGTTGCATTATTTATATATTTATTTTTTTGTGTTTTTGCTTTAACTAAATAGTTTTTTTATTTTCTCTTTTGTTAAAATTTTTTTTCTTTTTACAATTTTTATTTTTTAGATAAGTTTAAGTAGCGCATTATTAAATTTTGAAAATATGTCAAAAGCAGTGGTCAACTAACTAAAACATATTATTTTTTGCGTGGTCATATAAAGGCGTGTGATCGCGCGCCTTCCTACGAAAGCCTGATAGTCATTTTTAATTTATTTATTAAAAAAAAAAAAAAAAATTTAATGGATTTATTCACCTCACTCTTCAAGTTTTCATTTTTACACTTAGGGTTGTGAAGCAAATATTAAAATCATAGAAATATGGTGCAGTTTATTCAATAACAATGTATACTGGAGAGGAAGCATTAGTGTTGATTTTGGACTGCCAACTTAGTAAAGCTGATTACCAAACAATTCGCATTGGAGAAGTTTCTAAAGGAAACAAATTGTATCCAACTTATAATGAAGGAAAGAAAAAGATGCATACCTCATTGTGCAATACAAACTACTGATTATTCAGCCTCAGTTGATTTACAAAGCCTTATTGACCATACTACATACAGGTTATTAAAAATACTCAATGAATCTGTAAAGTCTCCTGAGAAATTTATTCTTGTCTTTATACACAAAGTAGGATTTGATGGTTTAACAGATTAATCATTATACAAACAAAGTACAGAAGACGAGATAAGTATCAGTTATGTCAAGGAACAATCTTTAATTTTGTCCTACATCATTCCAATTAAACTTTATATTAAAGAATCTTGCAAATCGCTATGGACTAAAAAAACCATCCTCTACACTTTAGTGTCAACCAGTACAATTTCAATATGTAAAAGAAAGTGCTGAGGTTATTACATAAAAATATATTTTCTTTAATAACAGTAATTTGAAACCAATGATCTTTAATTCCTTTGTTATCAAGCATAAGTTAGAATGCACAATGGTTGATGGAAAAGTGGCTACTATAGTTTCGCTTTTAAGTAATTCTTTTCAAATATGTAGTATTTGTGGACTAACCCCTTCAATTATGAACAATCTAAATGTCGCTTTTTCAAAAACCTATAATACAGTTTCCACTGAACTTGGATGTAGCATATTACATGCATGGATTAGGTGCTTTGAATCCTGCCTTCATTCAAGTTATAGAATTGAATTAAGAAAATGACAAATTAGAGGAGAGGATGATAAAGAAATTGTTATTCAAAAAATATTATTGTTCAACAATAGATAAAAAAATCACTTAGAATTAATTGTAGATGTACCAAAAAGCAGTGGTTCAGGTACAACAAATGATGGAAACATGGCACGAAAAGTATTTCGAAATTATAAGTTGTTGTTGAAATACTTGGCTTAAATAAAAATTTCCTGAAACGTTTCTACGTAATTCTAGATGAACTTGAAAAATATACCAAAGAAACAGCAGAGCTCTACGTTTCTCTGTACCCATGGTTTCCAATGCCTCAAATTGTACATAAAATTCTAATTCATAGTTTTCAAGTTGTACAAGATAAACCAGTACCAGTAGGTCTTCTTTCTGAGGAAGCTCAGAAATGTCAAAATAAAGATGTTAAAAATTATAGAGAACACTTTTTCGAGTTCGAGATGTACTAAAAAACTTGAACTTAACAAAGATTTTATTAAACTTTTGTTTTTTTAATTTTAAGTTTTGAATATTTTTACTCTGAATTCTGATAAAATGTTTCTTTGTTTACTAATATTAAAAATACTAATATTGTCTTTTAAATGTTTCTTTGTTTATTAAAGCGGGTCTACCATGTCACAAATATTTTAATTAATTAATGTTTCGAATCTGGAAAAAATTGTTTCTCAAAACAACCAAATATTATGTCTAAAATCTGTAACGCTCTATGCACCCTTTTCTGTAACGCTCTATGCACCCTTTTTTTAATTTTCTTTTAAAAAGAAAATTTTTTTTTTAAATTTTCTTTTAAAAAAAAAAATTTCTTTTAAAAAAATTTTTTTTTTAAAAGAAAATTTTCTTTTAAAAAAAAAATTTTTTTAAAAGATCTTCGTGATAACTAGAGTCACTGATAAAAATTTCAATTTGACAACTTTAAAAATAAAGGAGTTATGATTTTTTGTCCGTTTTATGTTGATCTTGGCCCACCGTGCATTGGATAAAATTGTGTGTAGCTTTACAAAATGCTGGATTGGAGAAGATTCTAATTAAGTATCAAGCATAGTTATGGTCTGTTAAAATACTGCATTTTTCAGTGTTTGATTATCTTGTAAAAGGGATATGGGATTTAAAACAGAGCACTATTGTGGTGTGCTGCAAATAGCATGGAAATAAAATTCTTCTAGAATTTGATGGTGCAATAGTAATAATAAAGATGAAGCCTGGCTAAGAATCATCAATAATGTGTTACATAAGATAGCAGAAAGTGTATTATTATTACGAGTTTGGCATTTAGAGAGCAACAAGAACTATTGATGAACAATTGAGTATAAAGAAAAAAATAATGATGCATAAAAAACTTTGTGATTGTGGAGTGTAACCACAGCATAGTAAAACAGCTACAAGGGAATAAATATGTCTGTATTATTTTGGTATAACTTAACACTAATGGTTGAAATAAAACAAAAAGTTACAAATTTGAAATAAAACAAAAGACTACAAAAAACTCAACTTTTTTAGTTAGCACTTTAACTAACAAAATCAGTAACAAAATTTTTAAATTTGGGCTAGAGAAAGAAAAAAAAAAGCATTTTTACAAAAAGGTAAAAGTGTTCAGACAGCGAATCTATGTTTCTCACTTATGGTTTCCATTTATCTTTTTTGGAGGCTATAGTTCTCTTATTTATTATCGGAGGTCATTAGTTCCATTGGCATCATAAAGCCCAACTACTGATTTATTGACTAAGACTGAGTTTGCTGGTGGAAAAAGTAAGAAATGAATATTTATATGGGACCGGGTATAAAAATAGTGAAGAAAAATAGGCATTTTGCCCTATTTTAATTGTGCCTAATTTATATTTCCTAATTGTGGGTATAAATCCCTGGTTTTTTAGATTGAAATAGAGTAGAGGTTTGTTGGATAGAAATATTTCAAATATTAAAATATTAAATTTTTGTAACTTAATATGGGTACTGTTTACTAGACATTTGATAAACTCTGAATAAACAGTTAACAATTTTTTTTTTTTTTTAAACATTTTTCTGGTTTAATTTTTAAAATGAAAAAAAGTATATATAATGATAATCATAAAATCATATGTAAATAGTTTCTACATATCAATGTATTAGAAAATAGTTTTGACTGCATATTGGTTGCATCTTTTTTCAAACTTTCATTAATTTATTTTTATCATTTTTATCATATTTTTTCAATGTAGCTAACTCTTTTTTCTAGAGAGATACTGTGAGTTTTTGCAAAGATCATCAAATTACAATAATGGCTTACTGTCCTCTTGCACGTGGTAAATTGTTTGACACAGAGAAGTGTGCTGTTATTTCACAACTTAGTGATAAGTACTCTAAAACAAAAGGACAAATACTTCTTAGATGGGCTGTTCAAAAGGACTATATTCCCATTCCTAAATCAGTTAATCCTTTAAGAATTCATGAGAATTTTCAAGTGTTTGATTGGTCTTTGTCACATGATGATATGGTTGCTATTGATCAATTAGATGAAGGGTTGGAAATATCTATAGCAAGTCGCACTATGAAAAAATACTTTAAAAGTTGTAAATAATTTTTAATTTTTGTAAATAAAATTTGATATAAAATAAATTGTAATGGTTGCATGTTAATTTTTTTTTTAATTACTGTTAAATGTAGTGTTTGTTGAAAGTCTTGAATTTACTCCTAGTAATATGAGTTTTTTTATTTAAATTTAATACAAATTTTATTATTTATTTGTTAACTTTTCTCAAAAATACTAAGGATTGACAAGTAAAAACAAATTTTTTTTTTTTTACTTTTATTTTAGTTACTTTTAAAAAATTATACAATTTATCAATGCAATTTAGAATTAAATAGATAATTCTTTGAATTTTTAATTTAAATCAAACAAATTTTTTTAAACTAAGCTTATTTTGGAAGATTAACTATTTTTAAAATATTAAAGTTCAGTTCAAATTTTATATTATCAAAAAAAAAGCTACAGAATCAGCAAACTCATGACTGAGTGTATTTTTTTAAATATTAGCAACTTAAGCTCTGCTGGTTTTTCAGGAAAAGAATGTAACCATCAGATTTTTTTTTTGAAAAATTTCATGTAATATGATATAAAAACGGTAATTCATGCTAATAGACGTCTTCACAGTTCCAATAATTTTATGGGCGCGGATATTTAATATTACGTTATGGTACTTTATGCGCAGAATCGCGTGAAAAATCTCATGTAAATAACTGTTTCTTTAAAGGTTATGTGATAGTAACCTTGAAAGAAACAGTTATTTACATGAGATTTTTTGTATATATATACACACACAAACACAACTATCAATGCACATTTCACACTCGAAATGTGTGAAATGCTAAAGATAAAGAGTACTCTTTAAGAGTTTTTATTTCTTTCAAACATATACAAAGTATAAATATATAAATAATATAAATTTAGCCTTAAAATAGTTAAAATAAAGTTAAATAATTCAAAATTGATATTTTTATAATGAATAAAAGTAAAGAAATCTCATATAAACAACTGTTTATTTCAAGAATGCTTTCATAATATATTTGTGTATTTACTTTCTTTCATGCGATTCTGCGCACAAGGAATAATGACATACTGTTAAAGGTGCGCGCACTAAATTATCGGAACTGTGAAGAGGTCTATTAAAATATTTTAGTAGGATATTTATATAAATAGTACATTTGATGTTTATTAAGTTCTGGCAGAAATGCTTTTAGGATTGAAAAATAATATATATTCAATTTGAGATTTTATATTTTAAGAAATTTAATTTAACCTTTGTAGGTATTTGCTACTGAATCATTATGAAAGCAGGATCTGGGCAAATAACGTTTTTTGGTACTGTTTTTTATTTCTTGTAAATATTCCAGATATAGTAAGAAAGAAGATTTTAGCATCGTTTAAAATTTGCTCTTGTTAACTATATCTGAGTTATGAACAAGAAAAACATCAGTTATTTAATTAGATATCAATTTAATAAAAGTTAGTTTTTTTAATTTGTTTTTTCCTTCTTTATTTTTATATCATTTACTTTTGTAGGTTTTTATTGAGCATATGTTTTTGTTTTTATCTTCCATACCACCCAGCCTATTTACATTTCAATTGTTTGTCTATTGTTATGTTTATCTGTGTTTATTTCTTTTTATATTTATTTTATTATATTACTCATATTCATATGTTTCCATAAATTTTTATACTACAGTTACCTGCTTGATACAAAGTTTTTATTTTAATATTGTGACTTAACCACAATTAAGTCACAACCACATACCACAGTTATTATAACCACATATCATGGTCATTTGTAATCATTTTTGTGCAAAAATATAATAATATATAAGTTTACATTATTATTTTTTTATTTTATGTATTTGACATGTATTTTAACAAATAGATTTTATTTAAATATATAAAATTTAGATTAACTTAAGTTCAGATTGAATTAGAAATATTGGTTGTCCAATGGGTTTGAAGTAATGGCAATTATTGATTTCGCACCACTAAGAATACCTTTGTACAGGCGGCTTCAAACCTTGGCTGTTGTATTATACTTTTATTCATTCTATTTTGGAGCCCTGCTTGGAGTTGGTGTTATTCTTCTGCTTCTGTTCAGTTCCTATTATCCTATTGCTTTGCTTTACCTTGGTTGGGCTTATCTATGGGATTCTGGCACTCCCAGTCATGGAGGTCGAAGATCAAACTTTATGAGAAGTTTGAAAATATGGAAATACTTTCGTGACTACTTTCCAATACAGTTAATTAAAACTGTTGATCTAGACCCAAAAAATAATTACATATTTGGATACCATCCTCACGGAGTTTTATGTGCTGGAGCATTTGCATCATTTGCCACAGAAGCAACAGATTTTTCTAACGTTTTTCCTGGAATTACTCCTCATTTATTGCCTTTAATGGGTATTTCGTTTGTTGTTGTTGTTTTTGTTTATATTTATATATATTAATTAATATATATATTTATATATATATATATATATATATATATATATATATATATATATATATATATATATATATATATATATATATATATATATATATATATATATATATATATATATATATGAATACAGGCAGGGCCTATTCTAGGTACCCCCTCGTTCCGGCAAACTTTAGAGGAAAATCGGCGGTTTTTAGCAATATTTGCCGTAAAAAAGGTAAAAATAAAAGGTCCTTAAATTTTAATTTGGGAGGCGCCCAAATACGGTCCACGCTGTCGAAAACGGTCTAGATTAGCCCTTGATATTGATATATATATACATATATATATATATATATATATATATATATATATATATATATATATATATATATATATATATATATATATATATATATATATATATATATACACTTTTATATATATATATATACACTTTTATATATATATAAACACTTTTATATATATATATACATTGTATTATGTTTAGCGCTTTTTAAGCCACCATTATTTCGTGATTATATTATGAGTTCGGGTATGTGCAATGTTTCACGCGAAAGCTGTGAGTATATATTGACAAAAAAAGGTCCTGGAAATTCTATATGCGTGGTTGTTGGAGGTGCAGTAGAAGCATTCAACGCACACCCATATGAAGACTATGTTCTTATTATTAAACCTCGAAAGGGCTTTATTAAACTTGCTATTAGAACAGGGTTTGTTTATTTTTTATTTAATTTTTAATTTTTTAGTTAAACTAAGTTTGATTGATGTTTTGAATCTTGGTCCTGAATCAAGCTTTTGGGATTTATCTTTTTTTTTTTTATGTGTCTTGAAAGTTTTTTTCTGTGCTTAACATTTTTAGTTATTTTGCATCCTTATAGTTATTTGTCTTATTTCACATTTTTGAAGCTAATGGTTTGGAAACTGTAAAAGTGGTACTGTTTACGTAAGGCACGTAGAACAGTCGATCCTGGCTTCTGAGCAACTGCCTATATGTCTAAAGTATATCACGATGCTTATATACAAGGATACCCTTACAAAAGTGTAAGCAAACATATATTTTTAAATATTTCCGATTTTTTAGAAGTCATTTGGTTCCTGTGTTTGCTTTTGGTGAAAATAATTTATTCAATCAGGTAAAAAACCCTCGCGGTTCAATGCTGCGTAAGATACAAGAAAAGGTTCAAAGTCTTGTTGCATTCGCACCAGTGTTGTTTTATGGTAGAGGAATATTTCAATACAGTTTTGGACTCATACCACATAGGCGACCAGTAAATATAGTTGGTACGCGATTTTAAATGATTTTCGTTTTTAAATTAAAGTAACTGTGTTACAACCTTTTTTTATTTCCATCTTTAACTTTTTAGTTTTTTTGTTTTTATTTTCCTGTGCTCACGTAATCATTTTATTACAATAGGATATTTTACAATTATAATTTTTATTTTGAATTCGTTTTTTTTTTTAAAGTTGGTTCGCCGATCCCAGTGGTTAAGTCAGAAAATCCTACTTACGAAGACATTCAAATACTGCAGGAAACTTACATCAATAGTTTGGTGAAGCTCTTTGAAGAAAATAAGCATCGATATGAAAAGAGAACGGATATCAAACTTGTTATAGAATAAACCTTACTCTGTTTAAAATGTTAGATATTAAACATTTTCAAATATAAAAACTAATAAATAAAGGACGATATTTATCGATCATGTAAACAGGAAATGAAAATAAATTTTGTTAAGTGAGAACGTAATTGGAGGAAAATAGGCATGTAGCAAATAGTTTTTAAAAAGTGAATCCTTAAATGAGAGAAGCACTTTTTAGAAAAGCGAGTAAATTAATAGTTTTTTTTTATTGATTTAGTTTAGTTTTTATAGGGTATTTAATGTCAGAGTACTCACTGAGAAATCAAGAGACTTGTTGTGTTATGATTTTTTTTAATATAATTTTTTATATTTAATATCAAGTAACTAATTATAATATTAATGATGATTTTTTTTTGAATGAATGAATTGATTTTTTTTACGGTATCTCAGTAGCGTAACCATAATGTTGACTTCGGTTTCTGCTATGAGTAATGGTTTAAATACATGTAATAAAATGCTAATTTGATAAAGTTTAAACTCTTAAAACTAATAGTTTTAAACACCAAATTGTGTTTGGCTACTGCAACGCGAAGGGATAACTTAATTTATAGATATCATTTTTTTCAATAAAGAAATTTATAATTAAGTTTGTCAAATGTTGTTATTTCTAAAGATATATTAATGCTAAATAAAAGTAAAGATATATATCTTTAATTTAATTTAATGGTAAATTAAAACTCCAAATGTTATAAAGTTTCTTAATTTAAGTCTATGAAATTGATTATAAGAATAATCGTAATTCCTAACCCAATAGGAGACTGGATGATCGAAAAAAAGATTGTTGTTTTTTTGGAAACTTTTTTTTGGCTATTTGATGGGGAAGTATTGGGTCAATATCGATACCACTAAAATCTTATTAACCCCGTATAACATTTTCATATATGATTTTTCTTAAACTCTCGTTGACTGTCGTGTAATACGCATCATGTAGCCTGTCCAGTTCAGGCAATTTAGGATTGTTTTCTTAACTAAAAAAACTTAACTGCATGCCATATACGATGAAGATTTATTTCATGACTTTAAATACTTTTTTATATTAACGTAACGCTTTAAACTTAAATTTTATTAAATAAACAAACAAATTTAGTTAGGCTTTATGTTTCAATTATTCGATTTCATTTAATAACGTCGAAGTTATTACATAAAATTGTTTCGTTGAAAACAAAAGAAATAAGTTTTTAGCGGCGTAAACGCTAGATCAAATTATCTTTTAAAAGCAAAAAATTTAATAAAGTTTTGCCCGACCAAAGGGGCATTCATAAAGTACCTAAGTAGTGAAACCCAATGATATATTAAAAGTAACTAGATGTCTAACTTCCGCGTATTTTTTGAAGCAAAAATCAGCCATTATGGGGGGCAAAAATAAATAGTAAATCACGGTTGTTTGGATCAAATAATATTTAATATTCAAAAATTAGAAATCATGGTTAATTCTTGTGCAGCAGCAGGTTGTACAAATAGAGCAATGAAAAACAACAACAGAGTATTTCATAAATTTCCAATTAGTAATAGCGAACTCTGTAAAAAGTGGATTGTTGCTATAAAACGTGAAACATTCCCACTGAGCACAGCTGCATTTGTAGTGATCACTTTTTACCTTCAGATTACAATATACCTGATTTTAATAACAAACCGCAATTAAAACCTTTTTCTATGCCATCTATTACTATTGATTCAAAACCAAAAGTCAAAAGAAAGTTTAGTTCTATATCGCCATAAACAAATAAAAAGAGACTCATTTAAAAAGTTTCAGAAACAGGCAGTCACCATTACATCGATTTCTATTCGGATATAAGCGATAACAGTAATGTTGCTGCTAATATTAACACAATTTATATTTTCACAAAAAATATTGGTAATACTTTTTGTAAAAACTTTAGTGGATTGACTTTTGATATTATAAAAAATCAGTTTAAAAACAATACCTGGCTTCCTAAAGGGCATAGGTATACTGATGAAATTAAAAAATTTGCAATAACTCTGCATTTTTACTCACCTAAAGCATAAAATTTTCTACGGCCTATACTCCATTTACCTGCTTCAAGCTCTTTAGCCAACTGGACTTCTTTTGTAGATTGTAAAACTGATTTTTTTTGAAGATGTTTTAAGTTATATTAATATAAAAGCAGTGGCTGATATTAATTATAAAGATTGTGCATTAATTATAGTAGCAATGGTAATCAAAACATCAGTTCTAAGTGATAAAAAGGCAGGTCAATTCATAGACTTTATAGATTATGGAAAAGATATTGTCGGAATTGAACCAGATACACCAGCTACAGAAGCATTGGTATTTATGCTGGTAGGATTACGAGGTCATTAGAAAACACCTATTGGCCTTATGCTGTGTAGTAAAATAACAACTGAAAACCTTTCATGCCTTATTAAAAAAGCATTAACAGTTTCTTCTGATAAAAAAATTAATGTAGTAAAATTACATTTGATGTTGTAAGTGTTAACTTTAATTCTGTTCCATCACTAGGATGTACATTTGGGAAAAGACTAGAAAAAATTAATGGACTATTTACTTTTGAAGGCTATTATCACTACTTGTATGAAATCCCTGATCCAAGTCATTTGCTAAAATTAACTAGAAATGTGTTATGTGATTTAGAGCGACTAAAGGATTGTAATTTTTAAATAGCTCTGGATTTGTTGTAAGAAGATTATTATAAGATAACATGTTCTGTGTGTGCAAACTCACACAAAACAATTTTGTGGAATATTCTTATAGAGCATCAGTTCTTTCATTGATTAACATAAAAAATGTGCTTATTGCTCCAAAAAATGGTGTTATACAAACTATAATAGTATATGAGAACGTTTTCAAAATTTATGTCAGCAATGACAATTTCAAAAAACCAAAAATGAATGTGGAGCGAAATCTTAAACTGAAAATGATTTATGCAGTTAATAAAATTATTATTGAAAAACATTTTTTTTTAAAGACCTAAATGAACACGATGCAGACCATGAAGCTGTTACCGAAGACATGCATTGCACACAACTAATAAAAATGTTAGTAAATGACTTTTTTACAATCAGACTGCAAAGATATGGCCAATTATATACAGAAAAGTTGGTCTATATATATATAATGATTGGTCTACGTCAACAATCAAATAAATTAACTTTATTCAAAGGTTTATAGCATAAATATATATATATATATATATATATATATATATATATATATATATATATATATATATATATATATATATATATATATATATATATATATATATATATATATATGAAAATATTACCAATAAAAATATTAAATTAAGTTTTATTAACTGTTACTTTTCTTGATTTGTTGTTTATATTGAAAAACTTGCTTTTCAAAGGAAAGATATTCTTTATATACCTGAATACCTATAAAGCTTTTTTTGTGTTGAAAACCTTACTAGATTATAACATAACATTGAATGAAATTTATTTAATTGACGGTAAATCAATTATAGAAAAAAGTAATAATGATTTTTATGATAACAAGAAGTATTTAACCATAAATAAAATTCTAAAATTTCTAGAAGGAACCTCTAAGTTGTGTCACACAGAACTTAGTTAATAGTCAAGACAGTTTTATAAAATGTTTCATTACAAGTTTTAACTCTGTTTACCTTGCAGTTATGTTATAAAACTTCCTAGCATTACTGCAGAGGGTAATTAATGACTAACAGGTGCATAAAATGTTAATAGATTAAAGATTAAAATCCAACTAAATCTAAGATTTTAGCTGAATGTTAAATTTTAAAATCATTCAAACTTAAGTTTTAAAATAAAAAAAATGAAATAAGTATAACTTTGAAATGTTTAAAAAAACAATGCATGTTTACATAATTATTAAATTTTAAATCAAAACCAAAATAACATCAAATTTTTCAGATATCTGTGTATCGATTTTTTTATAGATTACATTTTTAAACAATTTTAAGCTTCATATTTGTTTTGTTTTGATTAATAGCGTAAAGATTTTGCCCCCGATAATACCCGATTTTTGCTTCACTTTTTCTTATACCGATTTACGGCAGTTAGACATCTAGTTATTCTTAATATATCATTGGTAAAACCACTGATTTATGATCTTCTACAATGCTTAAAGCATAAGGATGAGGGGGATGGGGTGGATTAAAAACATACAGCACTTGTATATATATATATGTATATATATGTATATATATATTTATATATATATATATATATATATATATATATATATATATATATATATATATATATATATATATATATATATATATATGTTTTTATACAACCCATCCCCCTCATCCTTATGCGTACGTTCGGATTGTTTGTTAAATAATCCCACCCCCTTTTCCAACGAAAAAAAAATTATACATTGAAAGCAAAACAACTTTTAGTTAATTCGACATTACTCTGTTACATAGTATTATTTTTTTAAACATGAACTTCATTTTTTAAAAGAGTACGAGAGTCAATCTGTACATACCCTTACAAAAAAACCCAGCGAACTTCCAGCGAAAGTTCGCTGGAAATTAAAAGATCACTGGAAATTTACTAAGATCACTGGATTTCCATGGAAACATAAGACTTCGCTGGAAGTTCGACGAAAAACTTCCAGTGATCTTAAAGTTTGCTGGAAGTTTACTGGGTTTCTTGCGTAATATTTCGCGGTGATGTAAAAAGCGTTGCTGTTACAACTTCTGCAACCAGTTAATATATATTCCTCTCTCTCTCTCAGTATATATATATATATATATATATATATATATATATATATATATATATATATATATATATATATATATATATATATATATATATATATATATATATATATATATATATATATATATATATATATATATATATATATATATATATATATATATATATATATATATATATATAATATGTTAGTGTATTCTACAAATAGAGTGCTCAACGTTCTTAAAGAACAGAGCAATAATAAATTAGTATATATATATATATATATATATATATATATATATATATATATATATATATATATATATATATATATATATATATAATATGTTAGTGTATTCTTTATAAGAAATGCAGTTATTTTCATATTTTAAACATTAACAAACAGCATAAAAACATGTGTGATAACAATTGGATACATTTAGCAAGTCTTGAAGAAAATGTGCAAGCAACAATTAGACTTGTTGTTAATACTGATGGAATTCCTGTTTTTAAATTATCAAAGTGGACCTTGTGGCCTTTGCTAGCATCCATTCATAATTTTCCATATTCATTGCAAATTACTAATATTTTGTTTTTTGGTTTCTGGTCCAGTTTTAAAAAACCAAACGTGCAATTATTTTTATCTTGTTTTGTTGATTTTTTACTAACCTATCCACTACTGGTATACTCTTATCTAATAATGTTCGTGTTTTTTTTCATGTATCTATTTTTTTGTGTGATACAATTGCAGGAGCTATGGTTTTTTGTTGTAGGTAGTTTAATGATTATAATGGTTGCCATTGGTGTTCTTCTCAAGGGGTAAGAGTTAAAAAAAGGTAGTAGGTCTTGTATGACTTATCCATTTTCTGATGTTAATGGGAGTTGTAGAAACCATACAGATTTTTTTTGGATTAATGTGATTAAAGGGTTTTTAGATTTTTCTACATTTGTAAGAGTACCTAATTTTAATTGTGAAAATGGAACAGTTGTTAATAATCTGCACTGTATTGAGCTTGGTGTTATGAAAGCTATGTTTTCTTTCTGATTTGATAGTTATTATTCTGGTTATATTTTTTCTATTAGAAGACACTGTACTGTTGTAAATAATCTTTTATCTGCAATCAGTGTGCCAAGCAATATAAGACAGACTCGATGATCATTAAGTTGTATAAAGCATTGGAAAGGTATTGAGTTTTTTACTTTTTTAGTTTTTTATGGTCCTGTTATTTTATGTGATGTTTTGCCTCCTCAGTTTTTTGACCATTTTACTCTTTTATCTAATATTGTTTTTACGTTGAACAATAAGGTATTATCTGAAAGTGTAATTAATGAAGCCACATTATTAGTTAATAGATTTTTTTATGAGTTTTCTGATTTGTATGGTAAAGAATATATGTTTTATATTAAAGAGTTATTTTAAAGCAGTTATATATATACAGAGCTTTTTTTAAAGCAGGTATTATATTTTAATGCAGTTTTTATTTAAGTAAACTAAAATCTTTCTCTCTCTCTCTCTCTCTCTCTCTCTCTCTCTCTATATATATATATATATATATATATATATATATATATATATATATATATATATATATATATATATATATATATAAATTTTATACAGTATTTATTATATGTTTTTATATAATTGTTATTGATGTCCTTTAAATATTGTATAAACCATCTTTTTTTTTTTAGCTTTAAAGACCCAAACGAAAATACTTTTAAAGTCAATTTTCGCAATTCTGTTTGTTTTGTTATGCTAATTTGTCAGTAGAGAACCAACAGACCACTGACTTCATAATTTTTCCATCTAAAATTATACTAAAATATCCTAATAAATACAATTTGAATTAGATGATATAAGTTATCAGAGAAAGTAAACAAAGTACACTTATTCGGAATAAAAAATGTAACTACTGCCATTTGGTTCTCGACTTTTTTGAAATGGGCTAAAAAACATGCTTAAGCATAATATTGCCTATAAGATATACTTACTGCAATATTTTTCTTTTTCACTAATATACGGGTTTAAGTTTTGCTTTATAATGACTATTATGTTTTTTACAGATTTAAATATCTATATCAGTACAGAAAAGTAGAGCTGTATGATTTTTTGTTTTGTTGATTTAAACAGTTAAAAATTGTAAAGTTCCTTACAAAAAAAAAAACAGAAAACTTCCAGTGAAAGTTTGCTGGGTTTTTAAATTAAAATTATTTAGTTATTATAATAATTGATTATATATATATATATATATATATATATATATATATATATATATATATATATATATATATATATATATATATATATATATGTATGTATATATATATATATATATATATATATATATATATATATATATATATATATAAAATTAAGTTTTTATTATTTTATCTATAATTATTATTTTTATGCAGGATAAAAGTGATAAAATGCTATTGGTTGGAAATTGATAAATTAATAAAAAATGATTGATTCTAATTGCGCGAAAATATGTTGGTATGTTTTTATCTATCTTATACTGTTTTATTTTTGCTTATCATTTCACATTTTGTCTTATTTTGAATATTATGTTTTATATAATTATTAGTTAGTGTTTGTAAAACACTAACTAATTTTGATTGCTTTTAGATTTTGGATACTGCCTCTACCATTAACAAATTAAAAATAAAAGAAGCATTTCATATTAAATGGGAAAATCCTAAATATAAATTTATCTAACTAACTTACTACATTATTATTGTTATTTTAATATTAGGAGGTTTATTTTGTCATAATTTGTAATAAAATTTTTAATTGATTTGTAGCAAGTTTATTTGTCCATTAATTTTTTCTCTGTATTGTCTTCAGTTTTTAAATTTATTTACCAGAATATATATATATATATATATATATATATATATATATATATATATATATATATATATATATATATATATATATATATATATATATATATATATATATATATATATATATATTAGTAGAAAGTCACTTAATAGAAAATTTTTTAAAAGTTTTCGATGTAACAGTGTAAAATGAAAAAAAAATTTTTGTTAAGTAATTTTCTACTTATTTATAATTGCTCTGTTCTTTTAAGAACATTGAGCACTCTATTTTGTAGAATACATTTTGAATATTGTTTAAATATATATATATATATATATATATATATATATAATATATATATATATATATATATATATATATATATATATATATATATATATATATATATATATATATATATATATATATATATATATATATATATATATATATATATATATATATATATGTTCTTTATTTATTGTATGCATTCTTTTTTTTTTTTTCTTTTTTTTTTTAGCTCTAAAGACCCAAACCGAAAAGAATGCCTAAAGTGGTTTTCAAAAGATGAATTGACGAATTTCTTAATTCTTTTTGTTTCGTTGTAATAATTTGTCGTATGAGAACGCTAACGAGAAAAAACTTTTTAAATATAGAAACTGCGTAATATAAAGTTTACTTATGCCTATAAAAAAATATGTTTTACATTAATTAATAAATTAACTTTTTAGTTTCTTGTTAAAAATTGTATTCTGTATTGAAGTTTATTTCTGAGAATTTGTAATTATACCTAAGATAATCTAATCCTACATTGTATTTTAATTTATAAAACTCGATATTTTAAAATAAATATATTACTTTTTTATCGCGCTTAACTTCTCTTATTTCGCGTTTATTGGTTAAAAAATTTTAAAATGTTTATAAACTTTTGAAACTTTTATAGCAAAAATATAAAATCTTTTTAAAAAAAACTTGCAGCGAATCTATTTTTATACATAAACATGAAAATTCGCTAGAAAAGTTCACTGGAAGTTCGCTGGGTTTTGGAACAAGTTCGCTGGAAATTTCCAGCGAACTTCCAGTGATCTTTAAAGATCACTGGAAAAGTTCGCTGGAAGTTCGCTGGGTTTTGGAACAAGTTCGCTGGAAATTTCCAGTGAACTTTAGAGATCACTGGAAAAGATCACTGGAAGTTCGCTGGGTTTTGGAACATTTTTTCACTGGAAGTTCGCTGGGTTTTTTTGTAAGGGTACTCGCTGTCTTTATCACCCCTCCCTCCTTCATACGTTTTTGGGCAATTCCATTTCCCTTATACCTGTGTACGTTCATTGTAGAAGATCTTTTTTCAAACTTAAAACATTTCTTAAATTATATCTTCATTTGAAAAAAAATTTCTTTTTAAGTCATAGTTTCTTTTAAAATAACGTTAATCAGAATAACATTCGCTATCCAATTATATGTAAATTTTACATTTTTAAAGGCATAATATTTATCCAAAATACACCTTTAAAATAGAATTTTATGGCGCAATCAATGTGGATTTTTTTTTTACGTTGATATAAACGTAAAAAAAATACTTATATACCAAATTTCAACTTTATACTATTTTAATGCGTGCGTGAGGACGTTTTAAGCTAACTCTCCGAGAGTTGTCCAAAACAGGTACTAACTTCATCGTAAACAAAATCTTTTGAATTCGAAAATAAAATCTCTTCGAGATTCTTTAGGTATTGGGAATAAAATTTTTTTAATTACGTCCGCAGAAGGTAAAAGTTTTCGCTTAGTTACACCAAGAAGTTTAATTTCTAAAATGTGTTTCCACTACTAAAAGTCATTAAAAAACATTTCTTAGTCTTGTTAAGCCCTTTGTTAGCCCTGTTGCGAACATTTTCAACCAATATATGTGATTGGAAGAAAATTGAATTAGCATAAAAGAAAAACATTCCGATACCACGATCGATATAACCAGTAAATAGCGCCATTATGGCTCTAACTAAATAATAATTGTGGCGACTATTTGAACAATAGTGTTTTTTTGTTATTGAACGAAATTTTTGTATAAATAGAGTTTTGTTGTTTTTGTTTTTCAGATACAAAAATATAAAGAATATAAGTGATATAGTTAATAAAGAATAAAAAGAATATAAGTAATATAGTAAATTTAAAAAAACGGTTAAGATCTTAAAAATATAAGTTATAATACATATTCGGTATTATTTGTGATCGCCATCGGATCATAATTGGTAGCAGAGGGTAGTTTCTTCAACACGGAAGAATGGTAAGAAGAAAAAATCAAAAATCAAATTACCAAATGGAAGATCAGTTAACCGTTCAAAATGAAGTATCTGCATTGAACAGGAAGAAAATAGTTCTAAAGTATTCGTTTACGCGAACTAAATATCAAATTATTCAGCAAATTGGAGACGATGAACCCACTTGTAAAAACGAGTTACACGAATTGAGTAATCCATTAACAAGACTCAAAACGAAGCTCTCGAGATAATGGTTGAATTATCAAAGAAATCCGAACTTCTGAAATCAAAACAAAATGTAGGAAAACTCAATACAGAATTTGAAAAACTAAACGACAAATTTGCGGAAATTATGGAACATGTAAATGAATGGAAGTTTAAAATCAAGTTTAAAACAACAAAGGATGGAAAAAGAACTTAAAATGGAAACAAAAAGGCAATATTATCAATGGTTAAGTACTCAAAACAGTAATGACCAGTATGAAGATAATAAAGAAGAAAATGGGAATAGCGAAATGGAACCAATCAAATCAACGCATATCATGCGTAAAATGGAAAATGAAATAATTGATTTGGATCAAAAGACTGCAAAAATTGGACATGATTTATGGAAACAACTCAAACGCGTCTCTATACCAATATTTAATGGTGATAAAAAGAACTATGAAAATTGGAAAGCTTCATTCTACACATGCATTGATCAAGCCCCAGCGACATCTGAGTATAAATTACTTCAGTTACGTCAATATTTATGTGGAGACGCATTAAAAGCAATTGAAGGACTAGGCCATTCGTTATTCGCTTATGAAGCTGCAAAAGAAAAACTTGAAAAAAAGTATGGTGGAACAAGGAGAAAAATCCTTATGTATTTGGATGAATTGAACGACTTTAAACCTATGAGGGAAAATAATCAAAAAGACGTTGAAAAGTTTGCGGATTTGTTAGATGTGGAAGTAACAAACTTAAAAGAAGTAAATCGAACAGAAGAATTTGGCGATAGGACATTGTACCATCAATTGCAAAAAAAATGTTCCTGAGATAATGTTAATTAGATACAAACGATGGGTGTATGAAAAAAAATTAAACGAAAATGTTAAAACTCTAAAAAAGTTTATTGTTGAAGAAGCAGATTTTCAAATTGCAGCAACGGAAACTCTACATGGTTTAAAAAACTTTTGGTAGCAAAGCACACGAAGGAAACTCTTACTTTGGTAACAGTGATCAAAAAAATAAAATAAATTGGATACAGAAATGTTCTGTTTGCAAAAACAATCATAAAATATGGGAGTGTCCAACGTTTCAAAATCAAAATATTAAAGAAAGATGGGAGACAGCTAAGAAAAATAAACTCTGCTTTAGATGCTTGAATTCTAACCATGCGTCAAAAGAATGCAGGAACACAAGAATTTGTGGGATTGATGGCTGTACAGATACCCATAATCGTTTGCTTCACAAGAAAAGTCATAAAAAAGAAACAATTTCTGAAACTACAAAGAAAAAGAAACGATATTAGAAAATTCTCATACGTCGAACATCCAATTTCATTCAAATTACGTCATGAACTACATATCTCTTAGAACGGTGCCAGTTATTCTTCGTAATAGATATAAAAAAGTTGTGGTAAACGCATTGCTTGACGATGGAAGTACCAAGACATATTTGAACTCTGATGTAGCGGCTGAGTTGCCACTGCAAGGTAAAACCGAAAAGCTAGCTGTAAACATGATAAATGGAAAAATTGATTCTTTTGAAACGATGCCGGTAGAATTTCAGTTGGAATTGTTGAATGGAGAAACAAAAATTACAGTGGAAGCTTTTACAGTTAATAATGTAACTAGATAAAAGCTAAAAAACTAATAATGTAACTGTAAAAGCAATTAATTGGGCAAATATATCAAAAAGTTGGAAACATCTAAAAAAAATTGAATTCCCAAATATTGGACCAAAACCAAAAATTAACATTCTAATTGGTGTGGATTACGCTGAGCTGCACTGTGCAATTAAGGAAGTAAAAGGAGGATTTAATGAACCAGTGGCTCGACTCACGCCGCTCGGATGGATATGTGTTGGTGGTACTGGTAAATCTCTTCAAACCCATTTTGCGATAATAACATCTAGTACAAAGGAAATAGAAGATGCAAACAACACCATTAAAAAATTATTGGAAATTGAAGGCGACGAAGAGATGCAATTCAGAAAAACAATGACAAGTCCAGAAGACTCTACCGCCCTTAATATAGTAACTAATTCGCTAAAAACTGAGAACGGAAGATATGAGCTAAAATTACCATGGAAAGATAATAGACATTTGGACAATAATTACACAATGGCGTTAAATAGATTACAAAATACGGAAAAACAGCTAATGAAAAACAAAAGTCTAGGAGAAGAGTACAATAATATTATTAAGCAGTATCAAGAAAAGGGATACTTGGAGAAAATCAATAAAACGGATCTTGGTGATGGTTGGTACTTACCACATTTTCCAAATCTTCGTCCTGATAAATCAACTACAAAAGTCAGAATTGCGTTTGATGGATTTGCAAAATATAATGGTAAATCAATTAATGATGTTATTTATCAAGGTTCAAAACTTCAACAAGACCTTGTGACTGTTTTGCTGAGATTTCGAAAATACCCAGTGGCTTTAGCTTGTGATATAGCAGAAATGTATTTAAAAATTGAAATACATAAAGATGACCAAAGGTATCAACGAATTTTATGGAGAAACCTAGATTCAACTGCCGAGCCTGAGGTATTTCAGTTTAATCGGCTTGTATTTGGAATCAACTCAGCGCCTTTTATATCTCAATTTGTAACGCAAGAACACGCAAGAAAGTATGCAAAAAAATTCCTTTGGCTTCTGAAGCTGCTCTTGAAGCAACTTACATGGACAAAACAATAACTTTTGTAGTTGATGAAAAAAGTAGGAATTCAATTATACAAGGAACTCACGCTACTATGGGGTTCAGCAGGAATGTTTGCGCAAAAGCGGGTTTCAAACTCGGTCGAAGTTTTTAAAATAACACCAGAAAATGATCGCGCAGAACATATAAATTTAGATTCTGGACATATAAATTTAGATTGTAAAGCTTACGGTGCTGTTGCTTATCAACAATGTTTATATGACACAGGAGAAGTGAACTGTGTGATCATAATGTCAAAAGCCCGAGTAAGTACATTGCAATCTGTTAGTATACCAAGACTTGAGTTACTTGGAACTGTCCTCGGTTTACGACTTGCAGAGAAGATTGTCAAGGTATTGAAGCTGGAAACTAAGGACGTAACTATATGGTGTGACAGTCTTAATGTTTTATGGTGGATAAAAAATCCAAGTCGAAAGTTGAAACCATTTGTTGCCAACCGTGTTGGATTCAATCAATCAAAGACTGAACTAAAACAATGGAGATACATACCAACAAAAACTAATGTAGCTGATTTACTAACAAGAGGAACAACAGTTAAAGAATTAGAAAGCAATTATGTATGGTCGCATGGACCAAGTTTCCTTGATTCTTTAGAAGAAAATTGGCCGCTGAATCACATTGAAAATACACAAGAGGCTTCAATTGAAGTAAAGAAAAATCCAGTATTAATGAAATTTGCATTATCCACTGAAGTAACAAAGCAATTGCTTGATATAAACAAGTTCTCATGTTGGAAAAAACTTGTCAGGATAAACGGCTGGATCCATCGGTTTATAGGAAAATGTCGATTTGAAACAAACTTTTGTAAAAAGGGTGATATAGCAGCTGATGAATATCATGAAAGCGAAAAAAAAATCATAGCTAAAGTTCAAAAAGAAAGCTTTAAACAAGAATATAGCAACATTGAAAAAGGAAAACCGATATCGATATCAAGCAAAATCATTTCTTTAAATTCGCAAATTGACGAAGACGGATTATTGCGATCTTGTAGTCGATTGAAAAATGCCCATTACTTACCCTACGATGTAAAGTATCCAATCACTTTGCCGAGAGGACATACAATAACAAAATTGATTGTTAAGCATTACCAAGACGAAGCCAATCATGTGATGGGAACAAATCAATTATTAACAAAACTATCGGAATGATATTGGGTAATACGAGGACGAGAAGAAGATGTAAACCTGCTCAACAGCTGATGGCTCCTTTACCAGCAATGCGCTTTAAAGAACGACTACGTGCGTTTGCTAGAATTGGTATCGATTTTGCTGGTCTATTTCTTACTATGCAAGGTAAAGGGAAGATACAACAAAAGAGAAACTTGTGCTTGTTTACCTGTTTACTATCACGAGCAGTACATCTTGAGATGGCTTATAATCTAGATACAAATTTATTCCTTAATGCCGTTTATCGAATGGTGAATAGAGGAGGACTGCCATTAGAAGTTTTAATGGACAGTGGAACAAATTTTTTTAGAGGATGTCAAGAACTAAACGAAATTGTCAACGACTTAGATAAGGATAAATTTACTAACTCTACAGCTGATAAAGGAATCAAGTGGCACTTTAATGCTCCGCTAGGACCTCATTTTGGCGGTATATTTAAAATAATGGTCAAAGCTGTCTAACGTGCAATGACTGGGATACGGCATTTACAGGTGCTCAGAGTTTATCAAATTCTCGCCCACTAACATACCAGAGTGCCAATATAAAAGATGATATTCCATTAACTCCAAATCATTTTTTGATTGCGCAAGTTGGTGGACAATTTGCACCTGACTCAGTTCAATCTAAAGGCTATCATCCTAAAAAGCGCTGGCGTCGAGTGCAAGAACTACTAAGTCATTTTTGGAAACGGTTGATACGAGAATGGCTTCCATCTTTATCTAAAAGATATAAATGGAATCAGAAAAAACGCGAAATAAAAACGGATTACATTGTGTTAGAAATTTCTCCAGATACATCTAGAGGACATTGGCCACTTGGTAGAATTACGGGAGTCTTTGAAGGTAAGGATGGACGTGTAAGAGTTGTGAAAGTCAAAATTGGCGAAAAAGAGTTTATACGACCAATTACGAGATTGTGTCTTCTTGAGTTTGATAATTAAATGTTTGATAGACTAGAGTCTATCAAAGAGGGGGAGAATGATTGGAAGAAAATTGAATTAGCATAAAAGAAAAACAATATTCCGATACCACGATCGATATAACCAGTAAATAGCGCCAATATGGCTATAACGAACTAAATAACAATTGTGGCGACTATTTGAACAATAGTGTTTTTTTGTTATTGAACGAAATTTTTTGTATAAATAGAGTTTCGTTGTTGTTGTTTTTCAGATACAAAAATATAAAGAATATAAGTAATATAGTTAATGTAAAAACGGTTAAGATCTCCAAAATATAAGTTATAAAACATATTCGGTATTATTTGTCATCGACATCGGATCAATATGTAATGGTCATATCGAATTTTTATTCCTTCTTTGATAAAAATTAAAATTTGGCAGCAAAAAAGTTTATACTTTTTCATACTGTGATAAAGTTACATGATTATTTTAAAGTAACATTTATAAATTGATTACTTGTTTTAAATTAATTTAACTATAGTTGCTCTCACTTTTTTTGATGAAATAATTTTATTTTATTGATAGTGAACTCCAATAATGTAAATAAATAATTTTTTCTGTTAAATACTTTAATTATAAGCTGAATAATAAGACTAATTGATTGTATTTGTCAAAAAACTCACAATGGTTGCAGTTATTCTGGTGCTTCCAATTGCATATTTGTTTGGTGGTTCAATCTCAAAGAAGATCTGCCACAGATTGAATTTGATATACTGAATCAAAATACAAGTCTGATCTTAAAACTGACCGTATCAAAGCTTTCATTCTTCCATGTATATAATATAGGCGATGATATATGTTTACTTACGTCTTACTTAACAACGTCTTTTTCATTTATACTTAACCACGTCTTATTACATGGCCGACGACATGGGTTTCGAAGTGGAGGGGGAAGGGGGGGAAGCACAATCGTAAATTTCTGTAAAAAGTCCTCTATATCTATCTTCTATTAAAAAAAATGTACTTGAGAAAAAGAGCGCTCTAACCCCCCCACCCCCGTTTCTTCCTCCCCCCACCCTCTTTTCCCCGTGTCGTAGACCCTGCATGTCAAACCTGAGAACCGTTTGAGAATCATGTTTTCATAGGTTAAAAATTTCTACCTTCATCATCCGAATATAGTCTTTTTGTAACTCTTTTTTTTGAAACTCTTACCCAATGGGCACGGACGTAATGGGTAGATACTTTCTAATATATTAAATTCATGAAATTTTATATATCTAGTAGGAACAATTATACTGCTTACCCTCTGCTTTTAAAAACTGTTTTGTTAAACCTATTTTTATATAGAGTGATGAAAATACAAATTATTACTGAAAACCAATAGTTTTTTCCCAGTCGCCACATCTACTATCACTTTCGGAATTAAAAACTGCATAGACACGTGTTAGTCACGATCCAGACTTAAACCAAAAATACAATTATTCCCCGGGCAGTTTTACTCAAATTTAACACGTGTTTTATGATGTAGTAAAGTCAAATTTAAAAGTTGCGTGCAGTGTCGGTCGAAGTAAATTACTGGTTTCACATTCTTTACAAAAATTTAGTATATAATCTAATACGTTTCCGTAAAAGTGAAACCAATAATATTTTAACTGGTGTTTTTATAGTATTTCACGGAATGGAAACCGTCCTTTGCACGTGTTATTATTTTTGTTTTAGGTTTCAAACGCGCGACAGAAACCAAGAGTAACTTTTTTTCTGAGTTGTGCCGATTGGGTTAATAATGTTTTTAGTAAGGGATTGCAGTAGTGATAAAAATCGGTATTATATTCTGGTCGGTATTAATAACCAGTCACTACCGAAATTATGATATTGAAATTAAAAGTAAGTTTTTTAAATATCAACACTTTCAAAAGTTCGGTATTAAACGGTATCTTTTGATAGTGTAAACTTATATTATCGCCACTACCAAAAGAACCAAAATTTTAATGAAAGTACAAATCAAAGTCATTTATGAAATTTACTTAATGAAATTTATAATTTTCATAATGAAATTTACTTAATGAAATTTATGAAATTTACTTAATACAGTAGAATTTCTCTAATTCGAATTTTATGTGGAAAAATAAAAGTTTGAAATAAAGAGATTTTCGAATTATAGAAAGTTGATTTTTTCTTAATCGCTTTTCACCGTGACTTTGCATTTAATCGAATTATGGAGGTTTTCGAATTAAGGAGATTCGAATTAGAGAGATAGTACTGTATGTTTCAATTTTAATAAAATTTTATTATTTTAAATTAAATTTACATAATTTAATTTTAATAAAATGTCAAATGTTTAGGTAAAATTGTTATGCTCTGAAGTTTTTCAATTTAGGACAAAATATTTTTAATTAAATTTGTTTCAAAAAATTCGGATTATTATTATTACTAATTTTTTTATTTTGATATTGAGTTCGGTAGTGGCAAAAGGGACTTTGGTAGTGATGGGAACAATTTTCATTATTGAAAAAAATGTTTTCACTTTCAAACACTCGATATTGAAATAATAGTTTTTGATATCTTATTTTCACCGATACTTCGGTGTTTTTTTATCCTTCGGTAAAATAATTCGGTAGTGATATCGCAATACCTTAGTTTTAAGCATCTTTTTTCTTTCACATTTGGGATAGATAACTTTCAAATATGCACAGTGGGCCAGTGACTGGACAAAAGTATAAAAACCAAAGTCAGAATTTCGATGGCTAAATGGTTTTCAAACCATTATATAGATATTATAAAACATATTAAAACCATTTATCTACACTTAAAGTTTTAATTAATATACTAATGATGTGTTTGAAGTAAAAAAATAAGAAGAAAAAAAAATTGTAAAAAAAAAAATGTTGTTTAAAAAATCTATGGAAATATAACATTTACATAAGAGTGCGCTTTTGAAAAAATTGTATTATAACTCTATATATTATCTGGATTTTAAAAGTTAATAGACTAAAATTGTTAAGTAGTTAACATATTTATAACAATTTTAAATATGCTTAATATGTTACATGATATTTTCTAACTTTTGCTTTTAATTGACAAAACATTTTTTTGTTGCTTCATCTTGCTTTTACACTCAGATATTTTAAAGCTTAATTATGTTTGCTTTGATAATTTCATAAATCTGGCTGCCACTAGGCGTCACTTTGGTTTTCTTTTACGTTTGAACTCTTTTAACTAACAAAAAATCCGTAATAGCGCTCAAAAATTTTTATTTGCACAAAATTTTAAAAAAACGCCTAAAACATATAATATGGTCCTACTCATACTAAACGTATTACTGAACAATAATATATATATATATATATATATATATATATATATATATATATATATATATATATATATATATATATATATATATATATATATATATATATATATATATATATATATATATATATATATATATATATATATATATATATATATATATATATATATAAATCCGTCGGGATCTTAATTTAAATTTTGTTCTTAATAATTTAACGCTCGTCAAATTAAATGAAGTTAATAATCTATTTTGGTTGGTTTGATTGTGGTTACTTATTTTAGATGTTGAAATGATGTTTTTATTAAGGCTTAATGAGTGTCACAAGAAACAAGATTCACTAATTTATTCGACTCAACAGTTTGTCAATACATAAAAAAAAGACAGTATACTTGTATACAACTTTATTAAAGAACAAGATTGGAGATTCAAGGCAAAAAGTTTGAGAGTAAATTTTGTTTATTTATTTTGATTATGGTAAGAGATGGATTCAAAGTAAACTAATTGGCGCAAAGTTTATTAAGAAGAACTCAACTTGGCTTGAAAACGATTTTAATACCACATTAATGAAGAATAGCAAAAATATACAAGTCGGCATACCTACATTATCATTTAAGGAATCATCATTAAAACAACTTTGTCAGCAATATACACGTTTATGAAATTCTCTAGGCGCTCGTAAAATCTGCAAAAATCTGAAAACCTTAATAATAATTTTTTTTTTTACATTTTTTTTCGCTATTCCGAATTTGGTATTCATAGCAACGAATT